GATGGAGTCTAGCTCTTGGTGACTAGCATTAGAATAAGCAGATGGGTTTTAATAATTAGTGGAGTTTGGAAATTTAATCAGTTCCATTCATTGAATTGGTACAGAAATTAACTTGGTCACATTAAGAAATTACAGATTTTTGGCTTAAAAAATTAGTATCTTTGCTTTTTGATGTTGGCAGTGGGTATTCTCAGTTGTGCATGGATTTTCAAATATACCATCCCACTTTCTTCAGAAAGGTGATTGAAATCCCTGGTAAGCTAAAGAAATTAATATAAATTATTCCAAACTAGTTCTTGATTCCTAGGTGGGCACGGTATTATAGTCTTCTTTAGTTTGCCTTTTCCAGAGAGGTTATTTTCTTGGGCCTGATGGTCATTTTCCTCTAACCTTGAAAACGGGGTGGGGGTGGGTGGGTAGGGTGGGGAGTAGGTGGTAATGGTGAAGAGGATAAAATCCCACCAAAAGTAAAAGCCCTGACATTGTGTTACCAGGATCTGCAGCATTGCTGTGATGCTTTCCCCCTCAGCCAGTTGCTAAAGAGAGCACAGATGACTAACAGTCTCATCTTCAAACCTGTGCCGATATTGAAACACAAATACACAAAAATTAAATGGAATCCTGCCTTCTATAGGCAATTAAAAAGGGAAGTTTATTCTCTAAATGAGAAAGGAAAATGCTTGTTTGGCACTGTCATTCACTTCTCTCAGAGGGCATTACCAAAAAAATGGAAGGCAAAAAAATTATTTTTCAACTGGATAATATGCCTTAGTTGCCTTGGCTATTCTATTCTGTTCCCCTGGCTTACTAAATGATTTGCTTTTCCAGTTTGTTTTTCCACATACATTAAGGATTGTGCCAATCAGTGGTCCATTTTATTAACTGTAACCTTTAGGATTAATGTGGGGATTCCCAACCAATATTTTTTACCCTTCTACTCATGGTTTGAATTAATTTGGGTTGTGGTTTGAAATGATGGAAAATACTCCTCCACTGTCCTTCAGTGTTGATGGGATCCTGTGTGCTCAGGACACAGTTGTATTGTGACCAAGCTGTCTGTCACCTGACAATGGCTATGGTCACCCTGATAAATGGGTTGGTAAATTTTAGCTCATGGAGCTCTCATTTGTAATAGGGGCTTCAGATCCAGCCCCTCTGCGGGGAAGTAGTGTGCTGCGCTCTGTGCTGCAAAATCGGCTTCTGTGTCTGCTCAGCCAAGCTCAGGGTCTGGTTTAACAAGAGGTGAAATGCTCATTGCTCAAATCAACTGAATTGAACCGGGCTGAGACTTTGCCAAACTAATCTACTCACCTTACAAAATGTAGAGAGCACATTTTTACCATAATTTGTGATCTAGTTTTCTTTTTACTGCGACATGTTAGGTGAAGGGTAGTGAGGTACCCTTCTCAGTTGAAGGAAAATTATGATTAAATCTTATGGGTTAAACTATAGTCTTAACATGTTTTCAGTTCAATCCTGGAAAAAAATATGCCTTGAATGAAGGATATCATGTTAATATTAATGTTAAGGAAAAGATAACTTTTTTCTTTATGGTAGTAGTTTCCTCTAAAGATTTATGCTGTTTTTCCACATACAGTAAATGGCAGTTGTAAAAATGCTCATTTTTCTAAAATTAGGTTAGTGCACTAATTTCACAATTTTTTCCATACATGGAAATTTGTTATGGAAAAATTCTGTGTGATTTGGTAACTTGCATCTAAATCCCGTATATGTCATAGTTTTTCCTTAAAAATCATAACTGAAGAAACTGAATACTTATTCTTTCTGCATGAAAAATGTGGCATCGTTATCATTTGGTAATTATGGAATGTTTATATTTACACTGGAGAACCTCCCCCCTCTTCCCTTCTCAGTGGCTGGTCCCAGGGCCTTGCTCTTTTTTGGTGCAGATTGTGTATAATCACTCTTGGCTGCCTTGAAACTTCAGCTAACCTGAGTCAGATTTCAAATCTTCCTTTTCTCTTTATCCCCTTACCTCCCTGCCGCCCTTGAGTTACCCCGTGTGGCTGCATAGATAGGCGTGTCAAGTGCTCTACAATAAGACTCACCTCAGTAATATGTTGTTACTTTAACTTAGAAGGAACTACACTTACAATGTGAATATGTATGTTTACTAAAAGGTCAAAATTTAGCATATAATATTTTGAAAGTGTTTTTTTCCATGGTTTCTTTATATAGAACAAGAATCAGTATTATGCCTGTTGCCAGCCAATTATTTTTAATTTAGCTCTCTGAGGTTTGAAGATCAGGAAAAGGCAGAAGAAGGAAGTTTAAACCCCTCTATCAAGGCATCTTTGATCATAACGAGAGAGAGAGAGAGAGAGAGAGAGAGAGAGAGAGCATGTGTGTGCGTGTGTGTGTGTGTGTGTGTGTGCGTGCACATGCTTTCAAATCAGAGGGAGCGTGTCAGGATAAGAGAGAGAGAGAGAGAGAGAGAGAGAGAGCGCGTGCATGTGTGTGCGTGTGTGTGTGTGTGTGTGTGTGTGTGTGCGTGCACATGCTTTCAAATCAGAGGGAGCGTGTCAGGATTAATTGACTGAGTTTATCTCTTTTCTCTCCAAAATAATTTCTAAATCTTCCCCCCCCCCCACATATAAATGTAAATATAGGATTTAGTAAATTAATTAGTAAAATGATGATTTAATACTAGGTTAAAACAATTGTCTAAATGCCACAAAAGTCAGCATGACCATTGTAAGTCAAACTAGAGATGTATAAGTCAGTGTTATTATTTAGTATTGATTTCACTGCAATGAGACCTTTTCACAATCACTTGGATTCATTGTTTAAATATATTAAAGAGTCACTCAGCTTATTAGAATTACATGAAGGGTTCTGATTTCATGGTGTGGACTTTGATAATATCTGCCAACCCAGGCAAAATCTCTGGAAGAGTGTTCAATATTTACCAGTCTTCAGAATATATGAATCTACTTCCCACACTGGCAGTAGATTGTTAATTTGAGTAAATACCAAATTATCATACAAGAGAACTTTTTCTCCTTTCAAGCAGCAAGCCAGTTGTGGTACATGGGATGGAGAGCAATGATCAAACAGGTATTGATCCATATCTCTTTCTGCTCAGTAGCTTCTTTCCAAACTGTCTTCAGTAGGAAAAAATAGCATACAGAGACCTTAGTGTAAATGTTTACACACGATGGTATATAATTACATACATTAAATGTCTTATTTTGAAGTAAGCATTATTAGAATTTCCAAGAGCGCAAATTAATGTGAGCATTGCTTCATTTAACACTTAAAATATGGTTTCATTAAAAAATTAAAAATACTTCAACACTTCAAAAACTAAGTCTTCACTTGGTTTGGAAAATTAGGCTTAATGTCACCATTGGTAAAAATTAGATATGTATTTAGCCCCTACTATGTAAAATAGGTTACTTATCTGATGTGATTTTTGATGATGGGTAGATATTAAACTTCACATTCTTTGTATGGCAGCTGCTGGCACTTGCACTGTCCATAACCATTAATGATGATGAAGGGTCCTTCATGGGTGGGTTCATATTCATTATATGGTCCTTGGTCTGACATATTTGACATATGGAGTCGTGTTTGGGATCGGAGCTGCCTGTGGTTCTGAATCATTGAGCACTGCCTAATTCTTCTTAAAGTGGGAGGGCAGCACTTCCTGGAGATGAATACTATAAAAATAATAAAAAAGAAAGAAAACAATAAAGCCATTGTTCCTGTAATTACCCGCTGAGTGAAGATGGCATTGTCTGGTTCAGGAAAGTGTTCCTCAGTAGTAACTGCTATGCCTGCAGTAGTTGGGATTTCTTTGTCTCCCACATGGTAACTTGATGAGCTTATTCTTTTTGTATATTCAGTGGTTGGATCTCTATAACTTGTAGCCATGGCAGTGACAGTGGTTGATAAATTCCAGCAGAGCTGAAATCCATGGACTGCATCTAGAATATCCTCTCCTTGGGTGTGGTCAGGGCTGTGGCATAGGATGGAATGCTCCCACCGACCTTGGAAACTGCCCAGCCAGGAGGCCAGAGCACATATTCGGGGGCTGCATTCCCAGAGATTGCCTGAGAGGCCAACGGTTGTGAGAGATCTCAGAGAGTTTAAGATTTTGGAATCAAGGCTATTTAACTTGTTGTTATCCATGAGGAGTATTTTAAGGTTAGGCATTGTTTCAAACACTGTCAAGTCGATGGCTTTGATTTCATTTCCAGTTAGATCTAGCTTTTCTAAAGTGCCCCAGGTCCACTCCATCCCACATGTCAAGTTGCTAATTTTGTTCCATTGTAAGAAGAGCGTGTGCAAACTGCTCAGCCGTAGGAAATGAGCAAAATTAATCTTCGTCAGCTGGTTGTGCTCTAGGTGAAGCTCTCTCAGTTTAATTAATCCTGCAAATCCATTGCGAGCCAAACTTCGCAAACGGTTTGTGCTCAAATCCAGAAACTCCAGACTACGACAGTCCCAGAACAGGCGTACTGGGATAGTCCGCAGGGAGTTGGAACGGAAATGCAAGGTCTGCAGCTTCCGAAGGCCATAGAAGAGCTCTGGGTGCAGAGATGACAGCTGATTAAAAGACAGGTCCAAATTTTGCAGGTTAATCAGTTGGGTAAAAGTTGTGTTTGGCAAGTAAAATATTTTGTTGGAACTTAAGATTAATTCCTTAAGTTTATATAGTCCTTGAAAAGCATCTTCTTTTACTATTGAAATTTGATTGTGATCTAAGTGGAGCCAGGTAAGTTGACTGAAGCTGGCAAATTGATCTCTTTCGAGCTCTGTGATGTGATTGTGCCTCAGGGACAGGCCTAGAGAGCCCTTGTCTGTGGCGTTTGGCACTGAATGGAAGCCCTGAGAGTCGCAGTAGAAGAGCAGCTTCTCGCAGCGGCATTTGGGTGGACACGCCATACCCAAGGCAGGCAGCATTTTTAAAACCATACTCATTGCATATATTGCTGCCAGCATAGGGGCCCCTAATGGCCACTTGAAATGTAAGCCTGCAGAATATAATTTAAGGAAAACAAGAAGATAGGATATTTTTCAGCAGAATATTTGGGTTATTAAAAAAACAACAACATGATATTATGGCGAAAGATTTCACTACATATAGCTTATTTTTCATTTACTGCAGAAAAAATTAACCACTTTGGTATGACTGGAACAGAACTTAAACCATTTATAAAAAGATGAAACATGTCCCTGTCATCAGCAATGTATGCTTTTACCTAAACCTCAAAATCCAAAAATGTGACAGTGGTTTTTCTCATAAAATGTGAATTCAGTGGCTTATTTTAAAGCATAATTCCTTTTTTACTGTACAAGACACATAAATGCACGGACTTACCCATTCTTCTGAGCACATTGGAGGCTGCATTCAGTCGTGGTTATCAGACTCAACGCAGTGAGTCTGTAAAAGGCTCTAACATGCAGGAGCCTTCAACCAGTTTCCTGTTTTCTGTGTCCTAGCCTTTCCGGGTAAAATTGAATCCACCAGGGTGAGTTGTTTTTCCTTAGGATATTCCTCTGGAAAGCATTGGTTTCATTTTCGGTGATTGCTCTGATCCTCTGAATCAGTTTTGAATATAAGTTATTGATTTTCTCCTCTTCTAACTGTTCAGCTGGTTAATCAAAGCTTCAGTCTCTCCGTAGCCATTAGTTCTCATGGTCTTAACTTGTTGAAGGCAGATGGGTGGCTTGTTGCAGAGAAGAGCTCCTGGAGCAGCATGAGTGCATTTACTGAAAAGCTTTTCCGAGAAACGGCACAAGAATGGATTTGCTTATGTGCTGCGACCACACAGAACTGTATATAGGCTGACGTCACTGGGTGACGTGTCTTTTGTTTGGGTTTTCCAGAAGCTTTACTGTTAAAAAGCACTGTGCTTTGCAACAGTATCAGGGTCATTGCAAGACCCCCTAATTACAATAAAGCGAGAAAGAAGAACTCCTGACTTAAAAACATGGTATTCCTTCAGTGTAGCAAGCAGCAGTGAGATTGTAATAAAGGCTACATTCAAGAAGACCCGTCTGAACAGTGAGTTGGGTTAGCAGAGAGATGATTTTTAATGCCTGTGAGAGCCAGTGTTAGACTGCCGATTCTGCATAGAGAGATTATCTAAGTGGGCAGAAGCCTGCACGATTTATGGAGTGCTGATTTAATGCCAGCCTATGCAAGGTAGTGCCACTGCTCTGGTAGTTTGGAAAGCTACTCAATTGCCTTGTTGTCATGCTTGGTTAAAATCAAAGTATGACTATGATTTGCTTTAGATGTGTTGGTAAACTAGCGAAGTGGGCTTGGCTTCTTTGTCTGTAAGAGCTTAACATCATAAACCAAGAATAAAGGGGAGGGGGAAAGATTGCAAGACAAAGCATTTGATTTTTTCTGTGAGAATTCCAGGGGAACTCTATTTTAAAAAGATTTTTCCTTCTCTGTCCTGTTTTGTAAGAATGTTTTATCACCATGCTGATTGAAAAATAATGCTGAGTTGATCTTTTGAATGTCCTATTAGGAGGAAAGGGCAGGTTGATACAGTCATTTTAATACACATGTCCTGAGTGTTAACACTGAAACAGATGATTTAGGACAAGTGATACGTGACTGAATTCTGACATGGTCTTTTGTATTTAAGTCAGAATCTCACCTACTCCTTAACTGAAAGTCTCAGCTGGTGCTGTGATTGGGGGCTTGTGGCAGTGAAATAATAGAGTATGTGCTACTAGTTCCTACTGGCACACTTGAGAACGCATTTTGAGTCTCATACTAACTGTTGTTAGACTCTTTCTTTTGAGTAGCAAAGGTCACTCATACTTAGGAATAGGATTTTTTTTTTCCTTTTTGTCTTTTTTCGTGTCCGGCAACGGATCGCAACCCTCAGTGTCGCGCCCGTACCGGACCAGGACCGGCAACGGGATCGCAAACCTCGGTGCTGCGCCCGCACCTCGCTCAGCCAGTGAGCGGGAACCGGTCTGTATGTGGGATCTGAACCCTCGGCGGGAGCGCGGCCGCACTCCCAAGCGGCGCACTGTAGCAGTGCGCCACCGGGCCGGCCCAGGAATAGGATTTTTGCTTTGGCCTGTTTTTTGCTTGACCTAACTCTAGTTTCTCACTGTTGAATAGTGTCATCAGTTTTTAGACCTTGGTTATGAATGTACAACTCCATGTTTAGTGCTGTATAAATACAAATGGTGTTTCTAGCATGTGTCAATAACGTATTTTCAGGACTGACAAAGGTAAGGCCTTTTGCGTGTCTTGCCATATTGATTTGACCCTACATATGTTATTTCTCTCACATCATTAGTGTGTCTTGTCTCAAACCTGAGGACAGAAATCTCAAAACTACTGTTGGTGTCTGTGAAGCAAGAATACCATTGGCTTATTGGCTTCCAAGGGCTTCATCTCACCGAGCAAGTCTAAAAAGTAATTATTTTAAAGGGGAAAACTTTTTGTGCAGTACTAGAGTAAGAAATGGAAGACTCTAAGGTCCCTGCCTTAGGGCCATGTGTAAAGGTGCTGTGGAAACTGCAGCAATGCAGGTGTGTGTTGTTTGAGTCCTTCTAGAAGTGACCCTGCGATGGGATTACAACAGTTTTATTGGGGGAAAATGCCTGGGAAGTATAAAGGAAGAGAGAAGGCAGCAAAAATACTCTGAGGGCCAGTAGAGCCTTCTGACCATAACGCAAGTCTGATACCTGTGAAGGGAGAGGGAAAGGAAAGATTAGACAGGCATAGTCTCAGACAGCAGTTTCACAGATAGAATTGAACTCCCCATGCCAAAGTTGCTTGTAAATGGAATCCCATGTCCTCAGGAATGAGCCTGCACTAGTACTGCACCATGTTCCTACTTGCTGGTTAAGGGAGGGAGGCATGTCCTGTTTTAGACCCCAGTGAAGCCATACCACACTGACCTTGATCCTTTCTATATTTCTGTGTAGGCTCAAAGTTCTTAAGCTGGGTCCATAGACTGGCTTGTGGATATCTGTTGCTTGTTCATTTTTCTGTGGATAAGATTTAATCAGATTCCCTCAGGATCTGTGACCCAAGGTTTCAGAGACACTGTTCTATAGAAACTTGCCCCCAAAAATTTCAAGGAGGGGACTCTCATAGGGGTGGTCTGTTAAAAAAATTTTTTTTAATGGAAAGAAGCTCTTGGAATGTTGTAAATGCCCTTATTGAAGTCAGCCACCTTTCGATGAAAAAACCTTTGCCATTCAGGAGAAGCCAGATTAAATTCTTTCCTCAAGTAAACACTTTTAGTTCCATGGGGAGAAAAGCTATTGAGTGAATTGGATTAGAGCAACCATGATTAGGAATGAGTGTGTGTGAACATTTAGAAGGAAAAGCATCTCCTTCCACTTAGGCTCTTGTTCCTTTCTGCTTTCTAGTCTTCTTGGCCTACCTACCTCTTAGTACTAATAAATGGAAGCCATCTAAATTATATTATCTCCGTACTATTATAACAGACCTGTGGGCAAGGAAAATTGCCCAGAGAAGCACCAGTGCAATCAAAAGTAATTATTTTTTGGCCCCCCTGAAGAAGTGGGTAGTAATGCCTGCTATATCACAGAGACCAGAGAGCACAGCTCCTTCCAGGTCACCAGCCACCTTTCTCACCTGCCCACTCTTTGGGTTCAGAAGGTTCAGGCTGTGGAACCAAAGAAGACATGGAGTTTGCATTTAGGTTGGTAAAGTACACAGTTCCCATTGATGCAATTTTGTATCAGTTTTTAATCTTTCTTTAGCTAAAAGGGATAAATAGATAACCTTATTCTTTCTAAACTAAACTTTTTCTTTCTCTCTCTCTGTTTTTTATAATGGGGTCAGTGCGTGTTTGGGATTTACTGATTGATTGACTGTGGGTGGCCAGTACAGGGATCTGAACCCTTGACCTTAATGTTGTAACACTGCGCTCTAACGAGAACTAAACTTTTTCTTAGTTTCACTTTAGAGCAGCTTTATTCTGTATACATGTGCCTTTGACTTAATTAAAGTGGCAATACTGCTTCTGGAAGGTACTATCCATATCATTTGTCTTAGTTTTCACTGCTTTAGATGTTCATCATAAGGCAAAGGAGAAGATAGATCTAACCCATCTCTCCTCTCTGTAAATTGTTTTAAGAAAATTGAATGAGTCAAGCATCAGGGGCTTAAGCAGCTGTAATCTGCATTCCTCCACATGAGACTTTGCTTTTGATATATACGAGGGTACTTCAGAAAGTTCATGGAATGATTTGTATTATCTTTTATTTATTTATTTTTTTTCCTGACCGGTAAGGGGATCACAACCCTCGGCACATTGTGGTCCGCACCATGCCCAGCCAGTGAGTGCACCGGCTATCCCTATACAGGATCTGGGCACTCCCAGAGTCGCACTCTCCTGAGTGAGCCACGGGGCCGGCCCTGTATTATCTTTTAATGCTATTTTTCCACCAACCTTTTGAAGTACCCTTGTATATACATTGCTGATTAGGGAGAGTTATTTCCCTGCTTGGAGAAGCGTATGTACAGGTATATACATTAACTTTTCTGTTCTTTGGTGGTACAGAGGGAGATTTATATTTGCTTTATTACTAAAAAGTCAAATGTTTCTTTAATAGTACCCAAGTAGGAAAATTGTAATACACTGATACTAGAGTATTGCACAGAGGTGCTCTGGAGAAGCATGTTAAAATAAACCCTGTTGGGCCGACCCCGTGGCGCACTCGGGAGAGTGCGGCTCTGGGAGCGCAGCGGCGGGTTCGGATCCTATATAGGGATGGCCGGTGCGGTGCGCTCACTGGCTGAGTGTGGTGCGGGCTATACCAAGCCAAGGGTTGCGATCCCCTTACTGGTCACAAAAAGGACAAAAATAAATAGATAAAATAAAATAAAATAAACCCTGTTGCTGATAGTCTTCATCGCTGCTTGGAAAATCTCCTTGTTCATCAAAAAGTGATAGCAGTTCTTAGGGTGGAAGTACTAGATTTTGTGGGTATGAAGATGTCCCCTGGTAAGAACCTTTTAGGATAGTTGGCAGCCTCTGTTGTATTGAGACTTGTATTTAGAGTAAGTGGGTTTTACTATCCTTATTTCTTTTGAAAGGGGAGAAAATCTTTCCTTTCAAAAATAGATTGTCCACATCAGGCCTCCAGAATCCTCATTTTTGCCCGAGTCCTTGTCCCCATTCCTGCCTTAAATTGATTTTGATTTTTAAAGTCCTTTTGCTGTCTTGTCTGTAAACACTACTAAGCAAGTAGTAGAAAGGGATTCTGGTTACACTAGTGATGGTAAGTCGTGTTCCTCTTGATGTTGCAACTCACACAGTTTGGGATGTGTCCTTCTACTTTTGGAGATGTACACTTTGGCAGTTGTTGCTATTGGGGATGTCAGGGCCAGGATCATGTGACAGCCTATTTACGTTGTGCTAGAGTTGTATTTTGTGCCCAAGGCTAAGTAACTCAGCAGTAAATCTTGGGGTGATAGGCTTGAGTTGGACATTAGGTGAGGGAAAATCTCCCACAGAAGTTTGGGCAGGTGAGCGTTTAAACCATGAAGATCTTTTATTTCTTCTCTAGACCTCAAAACAAAACAAAAATAACAGAAATAATCTTGAAGTTGTGATTAACACACAGAATGAAATTTATGTGGCCAAACTCCTTTTTTAACATTTCTTCTGCCAGTGTCTTTACTGTTCATGTTTCCCCCTTTGTGTTTAGTGAGCTTCATTTTTTACTTGGAAGTATATAACTAAGTTTAAGGTTGTCCTCCCTGCTTCTCCTTCTCGACAGTTCTGAGTA